TATTACTGGCTGCTATGTATTTACCAATATCACAAACAAAAATCAAAAATATCAAAATCGTTGGTGAATTTTTTATATTATATTTATTGTTATATTCTCTTAAAATGAGGCTTCGGACCTATAGTCTCCAAACAAGACATAGCCATTCTCGCAAGTGTACATATTATATAAATTGCGTATAATAATGATATTTTTATTAATTATTATTTGCGTTCTATTTCCATTTACTACATTAAAAAGAATTTACTAATATTGTTATTACAGTTTCTGAACTTTTTTGATTCTTACTGCATCAGTGTCAATTACAACAGGTGTTATTAATTCTTACTACTGCTTAAAGCTTATTCAAACGTTATAATAATCACGATTACTCATAATAAACTTCCTCTATAAAAGGAAAAGGGTAATGAAATGGAAATGATCTATTGGTAACCTTGACTGCCGGTTTTCAGTGTACACGCACTGTCTTTATTTTCATTTCATTGCATAGTTCAACTATAGTTTTCAAATAATTTAAAATATTGACACAATCTATGCTATTAAATATCTTTGAGCCATATTACCTATGAAACACATTATAATCTTCAGATAGGTACATTATTGAATATGAACAATACTTTCAAAATGTTATACTAATATTTTATTTATACTTAGTTATGTTATTTTCATCGCAGATATATAACACTAAGTAATATTGAAACTGTTATTTAACTAAATTATATGCTATTTAGATAATCTTAAATAACTTGACACAATAATCAATAATTAAACGAATTATTGATATGACGTACGTGTGAATAGTTTATTATTAATTAATACTGATACATAATTCGACGTATCATAAAAATTATTCTTTATATCCTATAATAATAAACTATATTTGTGGATTATATAATAATAAAATTGTTTTTGTTTATGTCGATATCTTACCTAAACTCTAATAGATTTCCATTCACGATAGTTCAAATGTATTAACGTCATGCTGAAGCTTAAATAATACACATTATAAAACTGTATTTAAACAATTTTTTTAAATATATAGATAAGTATATCTACTTAAATTTTGTATTAATTTAGTAAGACCATTGATCTAATTACAGTAAACATTTTATTGTTAAAATTATTGTGTGATGATTACTTAGTCCCCTCAAAATGTTATCGATAAGACTATTGACTAATGTATTATTAAAAGAAACATATCCTGTCCCTTGATTCATTAACAATACGAAATGTAATATGTACTTAATATACCTATTATTATATCTATCACATACCTTGTACTTAAATAATTCAATACATGCTACATGTTAGAACCGAATGATAAAGAAACACTTATCAAAAATATTCCGTTTGGAAGTTAAATTTATGTTATTATTTTTATTTCTATTATAAACTGTCGACTTTATTAACTGAACGTTTATGTTTAAGAAAAATATGAATTTTACTGTTTCGTTGATAAACTTCAAAGTACAATCACCAGCTCAGAGAATGAAATTTATTTATTTATGTAATATAATTACTTATAAGTATATTATATATTCTCTTAAAGAAATACGAATCCTTTGTGTAACACTGATGTCACTTTTGTCTAAAGTTACACTTTATAAAATATGATGAAACCTATATTAAATATCAATACGCGATCTCAGGTTTATGCATCACTATAGTAGATGACACATCCGGAATATATATTTTCTATGACGTACAAGTCACTAAATATCCAATAACTGTAATATGTAATATAGATATAGATGAACTGCTATAAAAACTAAAAATTCCTAATGATGAATTGACATTAATCGGATTATGTATGTGGAAAACTTTTACAAATATGCAAGTCATAATACAGTGTCATAGCCATTATACCACTTAACATTTGCGCATTTAGATATAGATAATAGAATTTTAATTCGAATTTTAGCCATCAAACTTCAAGTATGCCTATTGTTATAGTTATAATTATGTATGTGCATAGTTTTTAAAAAAAAATTTCATAACCAAATTATGGTTCAATTATATATGAAAGTTCAAAGCAAAATTAAATAATATATTGAATTTATACTAATAAAATTTACTATATCTTCAATTAAATATAATATATAATACTACGTACCTACGTATATATATATACATTATACGTATTGAATTTGTATAAATAGGTAATATAATTAAATATAAAAATATATTTAAATTGAATTAAAAAATTTTTAAAAATGAATGAATTATTTCTAATAATTTATCATATTTTTTTTGAATAGAAACGAATAAATATATTATATTAAACATAAGCTTACTACTTAATACCAATATTCTACATGATAAATTATAATCTTTTGAATTGGGTCTGTAGTTTTACACATTTAGGGTAGTATTCATTCCATTATAACACATACTATTACTTGATGACCAAGTCACGTTGGTCATGCATTCTGACGAAGTATTATTAGTTTAATAAGCAGGTAATTGATAACACAATATACCACGAATTTCATCAAAAAAAAAAATAGAAATATAGGTAATGCCATTGAATTCAATTTAGGTGACCCAGACTAAATAATTTTACAATAACAGTGAACTAGAAAATAAAATATGTGTTAGCATGCAAATTATTTTCATGGTATAACTAAATTTAATATTTTATCGTATTCATCGAATTTACTAAATAAAAATAAATATATATTTTTATGTTTTTATTTAATTAGCGTAGTTTTAAGTTAATTTATTTAAACTATACGTAGATTTTTTTAATAAGCATATTTTTCTCGAATAATTTAAAAAAACGTAGAACAACTTAACAATAAAATTATAATAAGCAACACACAATATCAAAATATTACAAGATAAAAAGCCCGACTATAAAGATATCCAATAAGTCGCTTCTAAATAATTGAATTGTCTTTGAAATCAATAAGAACTACGTTGTTAAAATAGCTGGAAAAAAGGAAACCCGTTCGAACAACAAACGTTCTCTTAGTTTACTATAAACTATATATTTTCTCCCACGTAAATAAAATTATAAAAATTATTTATTGATTTTACTTCATTAATGAAATATAATGGCGTGTATCATAATAAAATGGATGATTAAAGTTTTTCAATGATAAATAATCAAATAATGACATCCCATTTTTTAAGATGTTTTTTTCTAATATTATCAGATATTAACCATTTTATTTCTGTGATTTGTTATGCTTGAAATCGTACTTTAAATTTGAATAATCTGTTAATCGTTTATCCTTTATTATTTTTATGAGCTACAAAGACAGGCCACTGATATATAATAAATATTAATGTGACCATAACAGCATAGTACTATTGTCTATTAAAAACGGTCTAAACCACAACTCTAAATTTTTATACCTAGGTATATTGTAGATGTTTGACAAAAAAAAACTAACTTGTTATCGTCGTCGTTGCGGTCGTCACGGTCGTTGACGACATTCGGTAGCTGATGTGCGTCACCAATTGACATAGTTGACAGCCTAGCCAGGTTCAGGTAAAGCAACAACAAGTTGGCGGCCAAGAAAGCATTATGCACATCTTCGGGCAGTGGAAGTGGGGAATATTCAGTGAACAACGACGGTTCAAAGTGGTCTTCTGCTTCATTTCCTTGAAATTGGTCAATATCATTGTCACAGCCACCGCCGGTATCATCGATGCCCGAAGACAACCCCCGCATGGTTGTTTAACTATAAGACAAAAATTTAAAAAAATTAATGAACTCCATTAATGTAATAGACTTAAAATTTAAAATAAAATAAAATCCAGTCATATTTTTGACGACGGTCTGTCGAACACTTGGACACAATAAGGGCGCGTCAGTCACCACCATGCGTTATTATTTTAAAAGGTAAAAAAAAAAAGTTATGTAAGCACATCATACTATATTGAGTATACTGAAAATAAAAATATGTGAAATAAACTACCTATGTGTATTTAAATCATGGTCGAAAACTTTTAGAAAAACAAATTTACATAATTCACCTTCTCTGTCATGTACCTAACACGATCCCTAGCGATATTTCGCAATTACTCATTATTGAACATTATTGAAACTCCAGGATCAACTAAAAATAATACAACTGAACATTATGATACTTAAATATTTAAAAATAAAAAATAAATACAATTTGGCTACTGCTAGAACAAAATATAGAGGTATAATAAATTAATAGCAGTAATCCGTCACTTGTATGATAAATTGTTTAAATAATTATTATTAATAATAATTTCAATTTTATTTGATTGATATCGTAAAATTCGACTGATTTTATATAATATGTGTAAAAAATAACACATATATTTTTTTTTTTATATGACTTTTTACACAAATCATAAACTAATAACTCATAATCCTCCACCCATCACATGATCGTGTTCATTGGGACCCATTATCAGCGATAGAAAATGAATAGTGATATACTATAGTACGTTTGTGAGGAGGAGGAGGAGGAGGAGGAGGAGGAGGAGGAGAAGGAAGAGGCCAAAGTAAAATGTTCGAACAACGAAACGTCCTCGTTCAAAAGTGGTGCAGACTATATTATCGATCAAAATCGACTGTAACCAATTGTGCCGGAAAACGAACATGTAATTCGTTTTAAAAAAAAAAACAGCTTGATGTTACTATTAGTTATTCACCGAACACGTCACACACATACAAACATTTTTACGTAGGAATTTATACCTAACCAACGAAGATGCTTCTATAGTTTTGTTATACATAATAATAAGTCACATTTAGACCAGTAACTGTTATTACCTAACTATAGTAAAATACTAAATACCCTATCGTAATTGCGTCACGAGTTTTATAATATATACTTATTCATATGTCCCAAACGATTTTTTTTTCCCATATCAGCAGTTGGGATCTGAATGCCATAAGCCGACGTGGTTTATGATTTTCATATACTTAGTCGTCTTAGTCGTTTAAGAACATTATACCTACCTATTATAGCTAGTGTGATGAATGACGTATGAACATAATGTCGTAATTTTGTTCAAACAAACCTTTGTTCTACGAGTTCTACTTTTTTTATTTTATTATTTTTTCTACACTTGAAGCTTTATTTTTATGAACCAGAAACAATAATTTATTAATTTTATCTTCTAAAACGCATTGATTTATTTGTATGAGTATATTATAATCACGACATCGGTTTCTTACTAAACCTTAATTATTTATTTTCTCTTCAAGTGTTTCCTTTCATTAAAATCAAACTTCAATTTATTACCAAGACTATAATAGTTGTAACATCTAATAGCTAATAGCATTTAAATTTTGTTCTTGAAAAATGTAATAAGCACCTAATAAAAATATATTTTTATACTTAAAAACAAAAAATAATTAAAAATAAGAAAACATATATTTCACAAATATTAGCATAATTCACAATGAATTATAATAAACTAAAAGCATTAAAGAGTACTTATAACGTATATATGTGCGCGTGGTTAAACGACGTACGTTATTTAATTGTGAAACGTATAGTCTCATATAGAAGTTTTATTTCTAATCTTATTACTCGGTGTAGTAGGCACTCGGTTATCACTAATAAAAAAACATTTTATTTGAATAATTTCAAATGTAAATCACCAGATAAATCACTTAACTGCATGGTTCACATAATAGTCAATGGTAGTGGAACAACGCGTCAACGCACATATATGCATTTGTAATGAAATCAGTTGTATTGTAAGTAAATTATCTATTTAATAGATATCTAAGTGTACCTAAAATAATAACTTAATTCTATGGGTGGTGTTGCGCGATAAATCGTATAACGTAAGATATTGTAATTATTTATAAAGAACTGTACCATGTGGACATCTCGAGAAAACAAAACCTTTGATCAGTTTTGTACCAGTTACATTTACACGTGTTGACGAATACACAGCGTCACTGATATATAAATATTAAAATATTTTATATATTTTATACTAGTCGACTCACAAATCTAAAAATCGTAATTATGATTAATGGGATAATACTGAATTAGTTTCAGTTAGAATCTTCTGCCATCGCTAGATTTTGTTACGAAACTTTGGTTTTAACTCTAAATTATTGGTTGTCTACGACGAAAACGAACACCGTGAGATAATACGCTATAGTATATCCACGATAACGCGTTTAATGCTTTATTATGTGCACTTATTTAAATCCGTATAAAACGAATAATAAATCGTACCGTAACATTTGAAGAAACACGCGAATAAGTGCAAGCATCGGAACATTTTCTCATGGTCACCCCGAAGCATTGAACTCAATCGTGCCCCTCGTTATTTGATTAATGTAACCATATCGACAACGAAAATTTCGGAAAAATCTTAACGACGATGCGCGTGGCCGCGGTTAATACATACGCGAATTACACGATGAACAAACGTCGCCGTGTTTTCGATCGCCGAAATCGCATATAACCATTATATATATTTATACATATATATATATTATATTATATATATAATATATAATAATGTTTATTATAGACGTCTATATGTTCGTACGGTCATGGTAATTTACACGGTGAATTATTTATGGCGGCTATGCCCTACCCGATTAAGTATTTAGGACCGGTTCGCTCTTCTGTGTGTCTATTATATACGTTTATTATTATATAGGTACGCGTTATATTAGACTCCTCCTGGCGGATAAATGAGTCATTGCTGTTGCTCCGGAGTTTTGCACGGTAAACGCTGACCGATGATAGCAATAATTCTGCTTCCATCGCGAGGCGACGTCTCGAAAACTGCAGACGCATTGTACTACGCGGTGTGTACAAGCGTATGTGTCATTGAGTGTACAATTTACGTTCCCTCTGATCACATCCTATAATATTATTCAATTCGCCTATTACACAGTACACATTGTAATATTATATACGCAAACCAAGCGACGTACCCGGCAAGTTTAAGTTGTGCTGGCTTAGAGTCGTGAAATATCTCTAAATAACAAAACTCTATGACTGAAAAACTAAAAAAAAAAAAAAAAAATGGTTATTTGAGTAAAAATATTGACGGTCTCACCATTTTTTAAGTCACAATTAAAACGGAATACAAATTATCAATTATATAATATAATATATAATTGTATAAGACGATATAAAATTCTATGTTATATTAATTGCATATAGGCGCTCAAATATCTAGAGCAGTTAAGCATTCTTAATCATCTTCATTATACATATTAAAATTATTTAAATATATCTAAACTCTGTAATAATATTATTAATTTGTATTATTTTTTATGTGGCTTTGGAGAGGAGAGAATTCCGAAACTACCTCGTTACCCAGTTAATTCTCCAGCGCACCTTTCTTGGCGCACCCGTATCATATATAAACGACAACGGTCTATGCCGAAAAATTACACACTCCCACCGACGTGTACAGTTTACGTATTATTTTGTACCTACATACATATATTATTATATTATATTTGTGTGCAATTTACGATTATATAATTGGTAGTTACAATGTACAGCTTGTTTAGGACACAAACATTTTTTTAACAATTTCAGAAATAAAAAGAAATTGCACAAAAACTGTCGGCTTACTCGAGTATATTTTTCGGTACAATTAAAACAGAATTGTAAATAGTTACATGTATATCATATCGCAATACGCTACACACGCCCATACACGGCCACACGGGTACTTTTTTTTAATATATATTTTTTTTTTATCTTTTAATGCACTGGTCGTATACATACATTATATGATAGGTTTATATTATTACATTTTATAGTACACGATAAGAGTTTAAGCATAGATGAAATGTACGGGCGTTGAATATTTATGTTTTATAATGATATGGAGTCGGTTGTTTAAATTTGACTGCGAATCCTCGGTGGATTATATATGCATCTATATAATTTCAAATGAAAACAATTTGTGTTTTTTACAGCGTGCACGGAATGATTTGTATTATTTTATTAGCTTCGGCGAAAATTAAATCTGAACCCGAGTATTTTACACATAATAATCGATATCACATAAACATACACCATATAACGCTACACGTATGATATACACGTACACCATAATTGTAATAACCTTACAAAACATAATAATTGATTAAAACATAAATATTATGTGGCCTGCATGTAGGACCTGCGAGTTGTGGTCTATTTGTATCATTTAAATATATATTTTCTACACATATATGTGTATTTGTTAATAAAACAATATTATCTCAACTATACAAACACCACCACAACTATTCTATATTTTGTTACAATACAATATCAATGCAAAATAATTTATTGTAGAATCACGAGCAAAAAAAAAAAAAAAAAAAAATGACAAAATCAGTCACTTAAAGACAATATTTTATTAGTCACACAATAAACCAATCTATTTCCGTACAGGTTTAAACAATGTAATAGGTGTGTAAAAACTGTGACGGCCTTATGCACCATGATTTAATATATATTTATATATTGATATTATAGATATATATATCTATGTTATTGGTTCGCAAAAAGCCTTGAAAACGCGGAAGATCTCCTGGGGGCTGGAGAAGAATTCAGAAGATACACCTGTCATCTCTATAGCCCTTTAAGAAGTATAATTATACAATATGACGTACGAAATATAAATATTTATGTACCGAATCTTTTCAAGATATAACTCGGCGAGTACGATTAAAGTTTATATCCAACTGTTTGTTCAATGTTCATACTATATAATA